CTCTTGAGAGCATTGCTCCAACTTGCGCTCCATTTCAGTGTAGTCGTGCTCTGTAGTGTCTAGCTTATCCCTGATCTTACGCAGCTCATCCTCACGCTGCTGCATCTCATCTTCTTGGCGAGTCACCTGGTAGGTGGAAATCACATGAATATGGTCACCAGAAACTCAGATGATCATCCCCTTTAATAACCTTGATTGTCAGCCACTGAAGATAACTCAATACCCAAACATAAAGGTAAAAGCAACTTACTAATAAGGAATCATTATTGTTTGCCATTTGGCATTCTGTCTGCATACATTTAATACTTATTTCATAACCATAAATATGATGGTAAATGCAGCAAATTTAAGAACTATTCGCAGTCGAAAGGTTTTACATATACAATACTATAAACATCTGCAATGTTTTTTTTATTAATTTTTCTTATTATTATCATTCTTTTGTTAAACATTATTCCACTTAAATATGATTATATTATTGGAAAGATAATTAAAATTTACCTCCCTAAGAGGAATCATTGCTGATTTAAATCTTCATTACATTTTATGTCACTTATTCAGTTGCAAATGGTAAATTGGATGAAACATCTCCACTGCTCTATACTTTATATTATTGCTCTACTTATACTTTATGATATCGATAAGGAAATGCTTCTTAATAACTTACATTGAGGAGTGGCTTGACCTTAGTGAAGAGACGCCACCATTGCCAGTCACGCAGCTTGAGGAAGGCCAGGCAGTTACGTTGGATGATACGGATAGCACTCAGCTGCTGGATACGTTTCTGGTAGTTCCTGTAGTCAAAGAGAACACACCAATAACAAGTACTCATTTAAATCAGATCGCAAGTAGTCATGATAGCGGATTGCAAAACGTCAGACCAGACTCTCTATTCTATCAGAGCAATGGTCAACGAGGAGAGATACATGTATCATCTCCACCCCCCCCCCCCCCTCTCCATCCCCCTCCCCATCCTCCAACCCATAGCAATCACTTTGCCAGTTATACGACATTGAATAACACAATTTCAAGCAAAAGAAATAGCTAAAAAACCTTAGTCGAATATATGAAAAATAGATTTTTCCAAGACTGTCAAAATGACTGTACACTACCAAAAAAAAATCAAGAAATCTTGCCTTCTGCTGGCCAACTTTCATTTTATTTGCCCAATGTATATCACAAAATGCTTATCTATGCTCTATGCTCATCCAGAATGCTCCAGAAATTATGACCTCAGATTTTAGCTCAAGCACACAGGGATCATAAAGCATCAAGGATACTCACCGAGACATCTTTTGAAATAAAATCTAGATTTTTATTTGTTCTTATTGTTATCTTATTGATACCATACATACCTTCTACTAATGGCACCACGGCAGTGAGCCTGGAAGCGGATGATAATGTCAGTCAACTTAAGGTCACGCTCCTCTTCAAGATGGGCTAGCACACCAGCACGGAAGAAGATCTTGCTCTGACCAAGACGGTACAGGGTAGGGTCCAGGTCTAAAGCTTTGATCTATAAGGAAACACAAAGAGTAATGTCATTAGGAGAGTTCTTATCATGATCATCATCTAATAATCAATATCACCACTATTTCAATCGCATAAACCATTACTATCGACATCATCATCACTAGTATCACAGTGCTTATTATTATCATCAGCTTCATCCTCATTGACCTCATCCTCCTCATTATCATCATCACCACCACTACCTTCATCACTACTAAAGCAACGACACTAATATGGGTTCAAGTACAAGCCTAATTCCTAACCCCTCTGTGCTTCGAGCCATTTCTGTACCTCATCAACATCACAAAGAGATACTTTGGGGTTGGGTACCCAAGAACTTACCATCTCAACAACAGCCTTCTTTCCATCCATGAAGCCCTTTGGAATGACGTTTGGTGTCAGCAGCTCATATCTACAACGACAAACAAATATATTCTCAACATAAAAATGATCTGAATAACAATACTATTTATAACAAACATAAACAGATTTCCAATTATAATGTAAAGAGAGAAAAGGAGAAATGAAAAGGTACAAGATGGGGAAGATGGCTAATAGAGTGAGAAAGAGTTGAGGAAAGTACACAAATATAAGAGTATCATTTCATTCGCTCATAGTTTGCAAGTATGTAAGTACAACAACAAGATTCAGGTTCTGTCCTGATTAATGATTATCAAAGACCTATTGATTACATTTCATATTGTGGTATAACACAAACGTTTCATAACACCCCCAGCACAGAATAAATGCATCACTGACACTGGGGTTGAAGAGATGACTACTCACCGCTGCCTGAACTCTTGGAAGATGATTCGATTTGGGAAGCCCTGACGACAGATACGGATGCCTTCCAGCACACCATTGCATCTCAGCTGCTCCAGTACGAGAGGAGAGTTGATCTTGCCAGCCTATAAAGACAAACAGGAAGAGGATAGTCATCTAAGGTTCATTTGTACCACTATCTAGCAGAAGCTGCAGATTACAGTACCAAACACATTTTGCAAGGTCCATATTCATTTCTTTCTCCTCCTTGCTCAAAATCGATGTTTGCCATTTCAATTTTTTTTCTCCATTTTTTTTCTTCATTTTTTAACTGTCCACGTAAAATGTATTCCCTTACTTAAAGCAGATCATGAGATCTGTTTTCAAGAATCGAAATATCAATTATCAGTAGAAATTTTGTTGTAAGCTGTGAAATCTCATTTTCTGTCAATCCGAGAACAAAAGATTACCCCAAAATGTATTTCTTCTGGTGGTTAAAGTGGTTAATCAGAAAAGTCCCAAACTGGGCAATATCATCCTTAGAACATATGAGAACTTTCTTACCTTCTTCTCGTGGTTGGGGATGATGCAACGGACAAAGTTGGGGTTGGTGTTGTTGAGAGTAGTCATGAGACGGCCCAGCTGCTCCTTGTAGAGCTGGCCAATGGTACGGAACATACCTCGACGGGTATTGGCCGCCCCAAAGCGACTGTTGCTGTCGGTACTCAAGTTGCTCATACCAACAATGTTAGCTAATGCACAAAAAATCATTGAAGAATAAAGATTAATGAAAATAGTATCTGAACTATGTGGTCAAACCACTGATAGAAGAAAAGAAATGGAATGTGGATGGAATAGATAGCATGAAGCAGAAGAATTGCTCTAATTTGCCATTCCGAATCGACAAAATGAGAGAAGAGAGGAGAGGACAGGGTTTAGGTGGGAGCCAAAGGAGATAATAAGCATGGATATGAACATGAAAATTATACATTTAGACATGAGATTAAGAAATCTGGAGTACATACATACATGAAAATGTAGGGCCGGCACCCCTGGTTACTTTCCAAACTACCATGAGTAACACCCTATATCATAAATATTTTTTGGATAATATGTAGTGATCTTTAAGATGAAAACTGATAAAAAACAATTGCTTTCCTCATCAACTTTACTTCATCAACAAAATCTTCATCATAAAAAATCTACATCAATCAAAATGGGACATCCCATGCCTGATGAAATGAAAAGATAAAGATGAAGAAAGATTCCCTAATGATGAATGTGATGGTGGATTCCCCGGCGATAATGATGAAAGGTATGAAAACTTACCATCCTTCCACATGTTACAGACGAAGGGGTCCACAGAGCTCCTGAGTAGACCAATGATGTTATCATTGAGTGGGTCCATGTTCTTGGTCAGCCACTGGGTGGCTGAGTAGTCCACCTATCATGCATGAGGAAAGACAGATAACAGTATTAAAACAAGCAACCAATTTCTTTACAAATCAAGATACAAAATAATAAATAATTACATTAAAATAGTCCATCCCCAACCCTTCTCGTTTGGGTAGCTGGTGGGATGTTGACAAGTTTCTACGAGAAGAAGACTAACAAGTGCTGGGGAGACAGAGAGAGGGGGAGGAGGGAGAGGGGGGAGAGAGAGAGAGAAAGAGAGAGAAAGAGAGAGAGAGAGAGAGGGAGAGAGAGGGAGGTAGAGAGAGAGAGGGGGTAGAGAGAGAGAGAGGGGAGGGAGAGTGGGAGAGAGAGAAAGAGAGAGAGAGAGAAAGAGAGAGAGAGAGAGGGAGAGAGAGAGAGAGAGAGAGAGGGGGGAGGATGAGAGGAATACGACAGTATAAAGAGGTGGAGATGGTAAAAGATAAGGAAAGACATAATGACAGACAAAGAGACAGAGATTGAACATACATGTATGTAGAAGGTACATTCCCTAAGATAAAACATCACAGAAAATCAAATAATGTCTGTCAGGGACAAACTAGATGTACATTCAATGTAGTAAATCAACTTTGATATAATTCTGATAAGATAACACTGTTTCTTATCTACCACAGTTCACTGTAAGTAGCAAACATAAGAACGTTTCTCACCTTGCCGGCATAGTGAACAACAGAGAAGTCAGCAGTGTCTCTGAAGTCTGGTTTCTTGAAGTTGTTGTGCTTGCCCATCTCCTTCATGAGCTTCTCAACAAAGGACTTGTCTGTGGCCTTAGGGAACCAGCATTCCTCATCCAGAAGAGCTAGGATACCCATCGGCTGTAACAAACCATAACAACATACAAATAGTTATATCGACATTGATGTACACTATAGTGTTAAAAGACGGGAGTTGCTGCTACCTTGTTAGGCGTTCGACAATAAGGGGATAGAGCAACGTCGATCTGGCGCTGCTCAGTGTCTGCCGGGCTCATGATCAATTGGGCAAAAAGAATTACCATTTTCGGTTTAATAAAATTTGGAGTGGACTAAAAGATTATTATATTTATGATTATTATTATTATTATTAGAGATTTCCATCATCATCAGCGTTAAGTCCATTTGTCCCACTTTGTGGGGTTGGAAATTTCATTTCCTTAATGGCTGCTTTCCAAGCTTTCCTGTCTGTGGGATCCATATGACTGATGCCAGATGTTTTGGCATCTTCTTCTATGGTTTCCCTCCATGCACTGTGCAAATCAAGGTATCATCAAATTACTGAATAAATGAGATTGGGTGAGAAGGGACATTGTGCTTGATAATATTCCTTGATGTTGTGATATCACAAGACTGATACTACAAAAGGTGAGTTATACAACTTATCATCACTGCAAAACAGTTGATTGAAGAATCATCATTTTCTCTAAGTTACCCTCGCTAACTTACAACCAGGATACAAACAACGTCTTGCCATGAAATCAATCGGGTACCATAGTTATTTTCAAAAATCAAACATTTAGACTTTTTATTATTTATTTACACTTTCACTGCAAATAATTTTTTTTTTTCCCTTTAGGATATGGCTTTCACAAGGTTTGCTTATCAAAGACACACCTACCATTGACATGCCAGAGATAGTTGGCAAAGTTTTCTTCCTTTGGACAGTATCACAAGAAAAGCTATCAACTAACGTACTCTGTTATTACTCTAACTTTTATATTAATTTTACCATGAAATAAGCACTGCACTGCAATTTTTGTTCAACCGTACCTTCTCAATGAGGTCGATGCAAGGCTGGAGATCAAGTCCAAAGTCAATGAACTTCCATTCGATGCCTTCAAGTCGGTACTCCTCCTGTTCTAAGATGAACATGGTATGGTTGAAGAGCTGCTGGAGCTTCTCATTCGTGTAGTTGATGCAAAGCTGCTCATAGGAATTCATCTGCAAACATAATGTACATGTATGTATAAATAACATTGAATTACACTGATCAGGACGGTATCAATGTTATAAATGAAAATATATCTCAAAAGCTATGAAACATATTTTAGGTTAGTTCTTCATAGGAGTTGACACTTCAACTATTATTGTGTCATATCAAATATAATTGCAGTTGTGTTAGGCTTTATTCAATATCTAATCATCAACATCCTACCTCTTTGCTACCATTAGACCAAAATATAAGTAGATTCCAAAATGTTATGTGTTCTACTATTGTGACTTTCTCATAGCTTAACATATTTACCAATACTACTCTGCAGATCCATCTAAAGTAACTTGCACTTTGAGTACATATCAGTCACGATAGAACTAACACTTCAACTAACACTTCAACAAGCGCTGCTTCTAGTTAGTTTCTCTTTTTTCATGCTTTTTCTATTATATTCATTGCATATTTTTTAATATAATTATTCATTGCATCATGTTTCGCATTAGAAATAAAATCATTTGAAATATTGTAAAATGAATGGGTTGCCAATTTGATATTTTGCTTATGCGACATACCTGGAAGATCTCAAAACCAGCGATATCCAGAATACCGATGAAGGATGCTCCAGTACGCTTGCTCCTGTCTAGAGATTTGTTGATCCTGGCCACTATCCACTTGAAGAGCTTCTCATAGATGGCCTTGGACAGAGCTTCACAAGCAAACTCAACCTGAGCAGAGGAGAAGAGAGAGAGAGAGAAGAAGAAGAAGATTAAAAGCTGAAGTTTCATAGAGGTACATGTATGAAATCATTGTTGTGGTCCTATGAGTCATGACTGACCCTTGGTGACCCTGTTGATGATGGTTCTCCAGGGGGTGTTCCACAAAGATCCTAAGTCCAACTTAACTCTGAAGTTGGATGTAACAATTATGGAAAGCCATTAGCATCTTTGAAAATATTTTGGAAAAGTTATTTCAAAAGGCATAAAATGTCAAATCATTCATATTTTCTATTATCAAGGAGATTTCATGTTCTTGATGTGGAGTTTATGAAAAGTAAAAAATAATTGAATTTTTGCTTTAGAATATATTTCATTTTAAGGCTATAAATGGCTCTCTATAGTGTTCAAGTCAAACTAAGAGTTAAGTTTGACTTAGGATCTTTGTTAAACACCCCCCCAGAGTGTCCTGTCTTGAGCCATATGATGGCCTGAGACGAGTGACAGACCCAGGAACCCGCATAGTTCTGCTGGTCCACCTAAGCTTCTATCTGCCTTGTCTCCTTTGGCCTTCAGTGCATCCTTGCATAATTATCTTTTCATGTATCTCCATGTATGAAATAGAAATGTACAATGATCATAAAAGAAAAAGGACCACTCTTTTCGGAAGAGCATTCTTAACCAAGCTTTGCCAACACTGAAGGAAAACTATCCCACATGATTACAACATGCCTCTCAATACCTGATAATCTTCATTCAGATAGTCCCCCATGGTACCCAATATGTTATTAGATGAATACTTTCAACTTCTAAAGGCCGTTCATTTACATCTTCAATTATACTGCAGCACCAAAATGTAGGTACTTCGGTATTCAACAGAGCCTGCTTCTGACACTTGTATAGTTCTACCAGTGCAATGAGAATCTAGCTGGTTGCAAGTACTGTTCTTTCAACCATCGACAGGAATTCATTACCAGTAATATTTTAATATATTAATTCAACAAACAAGCTTGCTATGGGGGCTCATTTTTCCATTTCCGATCCAGAATTGCAAGGAGGGCGTTATTTCTTTGCAAAGCCCCGAGATCCTTCCACTGCATAAGCATTATGTACGTGTAGCATCACCTGATGCATCATCGTCATCACAATGGCTACCAGGCAGGAATTGTGAGATAATATTTGGATGGGGAGGGGGCTCAATTAGGGATGGTCACCTGTTCCTTGCTCTGTGCCTTGTTGACAAAGTCCCTGCCGACCTTGAGACGAGGTTTGAGAAGAGCCTTGGTGAACTCAGTCACATTGATTCCCAACAGGTGACAGATCTTCTGAGCAACTGTTCATCAAAGAGGGAAAAAAATGTTTTTTTTAGTTTCATGAAACAAATATTCTTATTAACCCTATTTTAACTGGGCTATTTCAGACCAGGTTTTTACTGGGGAGGGGGGGGGGGTCAATTTGACCCCCCCCCCCCCTAAGATCTCGGGCGTTTCACTGTCAATCGCCGCTAAAATTTGCATACATGTCAAGTGAAGTGTATAGAATACTATGGTAATTTCAATTTTTTGAAAAATTCACTCATTTGCATATTTATGGTAATTTATGCAAATAAGGTCATAAAAATCACATTTTTGCCCATAAATCATACATTATTCATATTTAAGCATTCTTTTTCACCACATATATTTTTTAGACCATTTGGAATAATAATACAACACCAAAAATTGGAAGAGCCAGGTTATTCCTTATGTTATCTCTTGTTTTGATAATTTCTTGTGTATTTCATTGTTTTTTTAACTTACATATGTATTTTATTGTTTTTGTTGTTTTTGTTGTTTTATTACATTTATAACAACAATTCAACTATTTTGACCCCAAAACAAACACCTAAACTTTAAACAAGACATAATAACGAATGTTTTATCTCTTTTTAGGAAAAATGACATTTCCATACGTTTTGTACACAAATCACAAAAATGAGCGATTTTCGGGCTGACATGCGAAGAAAAAAGGTCACGTGACTTTTTAACTATACATCCGATTTTCGAAAAAATCGTTTAAAAAGATGCGTAAGACTCAAAAGAAAAAAGTCATGAAAGGACAATTTTATATCTGCCGCGGTTTCGGAGTAGTCGCGAAGTTTCTACGGGGGGGGGGGGGGGGGGGGGGGGGTCAAATTGACTTTCAAATTGACCCCCCCCCCCCCCCCCCCAGTTAACGTAGGGTTAACATGAGGGACTGTCATTTTGGAGGAAATGTTCCTGCTGATTTCAATATTGCATTAATCAATTACATAATATCATTACACCTGGAGCATGAAAATATGTTGCTCTACTTTCATGATTGTCTGCTTATAATGAATGTTCCAATTGCAAATAAGCTCTATTTATATCATCCCTGGATAAAGAATGTCCTTACCAGATTTGATGTTCAACTTTTCAAACAATTTTTCTGATCGTGACAGCGATGAAATAAAGTGTCATAATTAGCATAACTATTTGGTTCTTTGTCATGAACACTAACAATCAACTGAACTGTTACTACATCCACCAATATCATCCTAATATCATCCCCGTTACATTCATCTACACGTACGTCTTTCCATAAGTATCATTAGACTCTTCGCCATGTGTTACGCAGTTACTATCATCCACATCATTAGTTCCAACCCAACCAACCCCCAACTGTAAAAAAATATTTGTTGTTTTATCATTAACAAGAACTCTTTTGAATTTGGTATCATAATAGTAATGATTTCTTGTGATGATTCTTAAGATAATTCATTCTTTTTATGATTTTTCTGTTAAAACTTTTGAAGAGCTCTTTTGGAGTTTCCCAGGGCTATAAACTGGTCCCATGTCTGTTCTTGTTTTTCAGTGAATGCTACTTACTTGTGGAGTCAGGGAGTGTAGCCTGATCAGTGTTCCTCTCCTGCTTGAAGGTCAGGTTTCCAAACAACAGCACAGCTGACACAACCTTGAAGGTAGCTGATCATTGGAAAAACAACAAGAATAATAAATATAATAATAATGAATATATAATAAAAATAGATATAATAATAATAATAATCTGGATGTATATTGCGCTTAACACAAAAATACCGACTCTAAGCATTTTACAGATATTATTAATCTAGCCATCTGATTCATTCAAACACAATGTGCATCATCTCCATTCCCTGGGTAGTAATTCCTACCATGTGGTTACAGTAAGGGCATAAGGCAAGTACTAACAAAAATCCTACCAGGTCCCGATTTCTCTCCTGGGTATGGAGTGGCAACTGTAGACTAATGCCTTGCCAAAGGACATAAGAGTTGTCTGGGATTGAACCCACAACCTTAACATTTCGAGCCAAGTGCTGAAACCTTTCGACTACGACACCTCTACTATAAAGAGTAAGGGGATTGATCTTACGAGTGTTCCTACAGATCCAATTTTAAGGTTGCAGATTATCATATAGCTAGTGATATCAGCTTTGTCTATAGCTGAATTGAAGGCAGAAGAGGATTAACAACAGTGTAATAAGATTTGGATAAATCCCAAGTGATATCGGCTGGGAGTGTAGAGTACTTACCGTCCAATTCTTCCTGATTGATATTCATGACTCGTACAGCTTCGAGGGTGTCTTTAAACTCGTTCCTATCGTCTACTCCTGTCACAGGTACGTTCCCATTGCTCAGGTACGCATATTGATCAATGTTCTCAAGCAGCATTTGCTCTGCACGATGGATGGAAACAATCACAAAGAGATTTTTTAAAGGGGATATTTTCCTTCAAAGTGTCATTTTCCTAGATATCATACAATTATCTGGATGACGGAAACTATTAAAGATGACATACATGTACATGTACATGTAACAATGATAAATCCTTAAAACTGTGAATGAACAACAAACCCAGTCGGAAGCTTATGTTCCTATTGAGGCTCATCTTGGGTTTCCATGAATTGATAACCACCAGAGAAACATGTTTCAATTGCTTTTTCATGTATGCATAATTCATATCAATTTCTATTTCATATACGACATTGCTATTTGTGTTTCAAGATTCTCTAACATGTTCTAGGAATATTTATCTTGCTGCTTGATTGACTACTTAAAGCCTGTCTGCACTAGTTTGGCCAGGAGGGATTGGACCTCCCTGCATGGTCACTGACAGGTGGCTCATCAACTCAGCTCTCAATTAACATAAGAAAAAGAGGATCATGGGGGATCAAGGGGTACCGATTATGCATTGTTTCTATATAGAGGGAGCAAGTAGCTACAAGTAGTACAGTGGGGCGTTAACATATTCTAGAACTTTTTATCTCACTGCTTGATCGACTACTTAAAGATGATGTTGAGTTCTGGTCATGCGATTGCATTGTAAAAGAAACGGTGTGGAATCGACCAGAAAAGGTTGATCATCTAGCATATAAGAATTTGTGTGTATTGCAAGGTTCTGGAATCATCAAAATGATAAGAAATTTGGCCAAGTCTTGGTAAAGTTACAAACACTGAAAACAGAATGATGTATATGGGACTACACGAACACGTGGCGTAAAAATCCTACCCTGGATTTTTACGATGTTACATGACATATTTAGAATATGAAGGCATTTGAAGAGCCATGCTTTTCAGGGAACATGTCTTATCTGATGTTCTTCCACACTTGCATAATAAGAATGATAACGCTCACAAATTATTTTTCACCCCTTCCCAGAAGTCAACCTTCTCTTTAAGAGAGTCAGCCAGGGTAGTTCACATCATACTTACTCTTGACTTCGGGTGAAGTTCCCAGTAAGAGCTGGTAGAAGATGTGGAAGGTCCTCTCGGTGCCAGCCTGGCGGACGACACGAGCCTTTTCCAGTAGGTCTGAGAAGCCAGGAAGGTTAAGGAAAGCACAGCTTCTTTCTTTTCACACAGTGATATATTTTTTCCCATTTGCTATGTTTTTCTTTATACATATATGTTTTTGAATGCTTTTTAATATAATTGTATGTATGATGTAAACTCACATTGTTAGTCTTTGGACTACTTGACGAGATTGAATAAAAACCTAACTTGAATTTAAACGAATGGAATGTATTTTCCAGGACTCGTTATTCAACACCTGCTACTTCTTATTCAACATCTGCTACTTTGAAGTGAAGTAAGTGGTTCTTTAACTTTGAAATATGTCACTATCAAGTTATACTGAAACCGTTATGACTATTGGGACTATTATTACCCGACTCCTACATTTCTCCAACATCATCATATTGTAGCATAACTAGTCCAGTAGTTTAGTAAGACGTAGAGGGCATTATAGTTAATTGTGAAATATATATGTGTACATCGTAATATGTCAGTCAGTCGGCGTTGAGCCGCCGTGTCAGTCAGTCAGCGTCGAGCTGTCGTTGCGACAGGTTCGTCACAAGGAACGAGTAAAGTTATTTGAACTGCAGATACTGTGCAAGTGTTGTTTCTTTAGTCCTGTCAGACATTCAGGGATTGCGGGAGTGAGTAAAATGAGAGCTAGTCCACGTTATTTCTTACACGATATACTTTTGTGAGAGCCCACTGAGAGATATAGTTGATGAATGATTATCAAGAGCTACCCCGGCAGAGCCCGGTTACGCCACAATATAACTGTTGCGTTAATATGTAATTATCCTGTATTTAGTTTTAAAATTGTTGATGAACATGTAATAAACCTGCTAAATACTAATTCATCCATTTTGTTTTCATCTTCTATTCTGTCAGCTGTATGTGAAAAATGATTAGTGAAATCAATTGATCTATACCCATGTGGGACCTCACCACATATGCTCATACTACATTATACGCACATTATGGTCCATAGTGCAGTATCTACAGCATGATCCAGTCATAAAGCAAGGTTCAAGTAGCTGACTCACTCAGCTATCCATCAATTCAACATTTCCTCCATTCTTTCTTTCTAGGAAAGAAATGCTTCCAAGACAAACAAAGCCAAGATCTTCAACCGGGACCGTGTTTGTTTTCCGTGACAATCTGCCAACAAAAATTGGGCTTAAGTTATACCTTTGTGAAAAAGACTTACTTATCACTCATCATTTTTTTGGTGTGGTCTTTTGAGTACCAGGTGGGCATTTAGTCAATAAAGTTAGTTTGTAATTGTGCACATTAAGCACCCTTTTGCCACTCAATATTGGTGTGTGTATTCCCACAAGGGAGGGAGAAAGTAAAGGAGACTGGAAAAATAGACAGAAGCGGAGAGAAAGAGAGAGGAAGATCAAGTGCACCAATAGATATGGGTGATAATTAGGGTTAAAGGTTGATGTGTACACATCTCATTGACATATGTGTACACTAAAGCCCCCAGCCCCCCCCCCCCCCCCCCCCCCCCCCCCCCCCCCTTTCAATTTTTGCCTCGTACAGCTGCCCCAACAAGACGAGAGTCGTTTGTTATTGAATGTACACACCCACTGCATGTCTGGCCGTTACTACATGTAAAACTCCCTATGTCAAGTTTCTTCTTAGAGGCTACACTATCACAATCATCGCTGACCAAAAACAATTTTCTCATCAAAATTTCTTATCAAATTTATCATCATGAAAAAAGATGGATATATTTGACAAAATAGAACAATGGTAAGATATCTAGCATGGGAAAATATGTCTATAATCAAGGTATGTCACATATCAAAAAAACCTGTACAGATAAACTTTTTAGAGAATCACACCCAACATTTATTTTATTTTTTGTTGTCTGCTGTCTGCTGTCTGCTGTCTACTGAAAATCATTTTCACAGAATGAGGTTCACCTTTGCTGGTTCAAAGTCTCATTTGTGCCCTTTACAAAATCAGATATCCTATCGCACCAACTGTTATGATATATCTGGAGCTACAATTGATTTTTACAGCATGAATAGCACTCAGAGCAAATGTGAAAAGGCTTTTATGTCATTCCAAAACTAGCAGGGAAAATGCATTGAACTAAAAAAAATTAAAGGATTGCACAGAAGACTTGATTTGAAACCAGATATGATTGGTATTGCACTGAGCATTGAAAAAAAAATGAATAAATCATTTTCAATTAATATTGCTGTTAGCATGTTTAGCCAATGTGAAAAGACTGTTACTATGCTGTTTCTCATATTCTTACATTTTAATCGTCAAGAGCCATTGCTTTAACTTTTTGTGAAGCTTTTATATTTTTAAGAATCTATGTCAGAACATTTGTAGACAGGGATCCCTCTGACTCAACAAGATCCTATTCTTATTGTAACCGTCTTGTGGCGCTAGTACGACTAACATCCAAGAAATAGTAACAAATTTATCCCGACAGACAAGGGACAATTAGATATTGTAGGGGGGGGAGGATGTCCGGGGTGGGGAGGATGTCGGGGGTGGGGAGGATGTCGGGGGGGGGGGAGAGGATGTCGTAGAACATAATATGTTCCCTGTACTCTTTAAAAGTGGTTTGTACTCACTTTAATCTGCAAAACAGGTATTACAAAGCGATCCACTTGAAAAGTTGGGAGGTATACGATGTGAATCTTATTGATAATAAATGTATACCTCATCTGCATTTGAATAAGGGCCAATATTAAAATATATGGAAACCTGTCTGTTTGTTGTATTTAAACAAGATTATTAGCTACACGTATCCAGTTACATGTGTAATCATCTTTTTGCATCAAACATGGTGCATATATATTCAACAATTTCAAATAAAATAAATGTTATATCTCATTCATATTCCTCATTGGCTTTCAACTATTATATTGAGAATAAGGGGGAATAAGGGGGAAGGAGGGGGAAGGAGGGGGAAGGAGGGGGAAGGAGGGGGAAGGAGGGGGAAGGAGGGGGAAGGAGGGGGAAGGAGGGGGAAGGAGGGGGGAGGAGGGGGAAGGAGGGGGAAGGAGGGGGAATGAGGGGGAAGGAGGGGGAAGGAGGGGGAAGGAGGGGGAAGGAGGGGGAAGGAGGGGGAAGGAGGGGGAAGGAGGGGGAAGGAGGGGGAAGGAGGGGGAAGGAGGGGGAAGGAGGGGGAAGGAGGGGGAAGGAGGGGGAAGGAGGGGGAAGGAGGGGGAAGGAGGGGGAAGGAGGGGGAAGGAGGGGAATAAAATGACTATGCAAAGGAGAAAATCAAATCATGTAAATAGAAAGAGAAGCCTACACATCTGCAGCGAGCTTTACAGAGCTTGCTATCCAAAATTAAAAGGAAGAAGAATGGAAATGTTTGATAAATGATTACGTAAGTGCTCAGATTACACTAATGGGTTGTTTCCTTCCTTCCTTTGCTTCATGTACATGCAACACAGCAGCTTGTAAATTGTGGAATCACTTTCGAACCGGATTAGCATCCCATGACAGACATATAGAACTTATCACGCTTTTTTGTAGTTATGTTTTGATTTAGAATTCAACAAATTGATCAATACTGATAATTGTTTGTGGCCTTTGTTTCAGAATGTGTACTGCATAACGACTATTCACCAGTTATCATTATCAATTATTAGTATGAAAACTGTTTTATCTGTGAGCACTAATGACTGAAGCAGTTCACAATCTGTGAAAAATTACACATTTTACACCAGAATATTATTCAGATACATGCACATGTGCATACATATCTGTTCAATATGGATAATACAGAAATGGATTGCTGAGCATATATGCAGATTTTGAATACGTTCTTAGCTGAAAATGTTATTACAATTTAAATACTCCTCATATCAAAACCGCAACCAACAAGGCAACATCAGGGCTCAAATTAATTTTTTGTCCACGGGGGCTCTTCCCCTCAAAAAAAGAGCCCCGTGAGCCTTCTCACGGGGGCTCTTTTAGTACTGACGGGGGCTATTTTTTATACAAATATCCATTGAATTGGTACCTATGATACTCCTCAATTATTTGCTATTTCATCATTATCATTTCAATTTCACAGACAGATTAGCATTGTTTGCTTTGTTATTAAGATACATGTTATAAACTAAGAATACCTGCTGGTGGAAAAAATATGTATGTAAGCAGTGATTATTATGTGATTGAAAGCTTGTTTGTGCAAAAAATCTATGCTTGGTTGAATTTCTTGAATGAAAACTATGGTAGTGAGAAAAGTAAAGATCATTTGTCACGTCTCATTAGGTTTGATTGGAAATCTTGGTTATTTACTTTAATGTTTAGCCCCTATGCTAGAAATGAGAGATATTTGTTTTCAGTTGTTTCTTCTTCTATTCCACACAAATCTTTTTATTAAATTTCATTCAGGATAACAGGTAACTAACTTATTTGTTTAGGTACAGGTCATAAAACAGGTCGTAAAAACTGGTAGATGTAATGATGATTCTTCAGTTGAAGGAATATCTCTAGCCATGACTAACCTAGGCCCACACAAACGATACATTATCTTCACTAAAATATGGACATCATCTGAGTGGAATAATATACACAAGATTTGACTCTATCAACAAACATGCAGGACCTTCAGAGGTAACAAGGTATCATCTCCTAGGAGTCAGAACGGCATTAACTCTTTAGGCTTGTCTTCAACAGCGCGAGTTGGCCAAATAGCCCGCTATTTCTGATTCCAGAATTTAGCCCGATCACAAAATAGCGGGCTATTTGGCAGGTGAAGACAGAAATGGCTATTTGTCCGCTTCGTCTTCACCAGCCCGAAGACTCACACTATGCGCGAACACTGAGCAAATTTCTTGAGCTGGAGTTTCGAGCTGATGAAGATGCAATTTGTAACGTTGGGCTGATTTCCAAAATCAGAAATAGTGGGCTAGTTGGCCAACTTGAGTTGATGAAGCCAGGCCTTTTGCAAAGAATGTGAGTTAACACCCTTCTGGCTTTCAGCGGATGATACATGTATGAAGTTTATTGTATGAAGAGAGGAAAGGTGATGAAATATTGCTCCATAACCTTGAGGAAATATTGCTCCATGACCTTGGGGAGTTTATGTTCAACTCAGCAATACATGTCATCATTCGATAACAAGACTGTTAGTACTCAAAACATGCATGTATAAGACTGTTATTAGGATCATTTTATCCTCAAATGTAAGTCTTGTAATATTCCTAGGGGAATATGTGTATGGCAATAGAAGAGCTCCAAACAAATGGAATGTTTACACAATTTTGATTGCAGTCCTTATGGATAGAAAAGGTTCACATTTTGAGACAATTAACCTGTTTCACAAGTACTTTTCCTGTTTTTACTCACCAACTCCTCACTCCTTTGTTAAACAGAAGCCCTTTTATCCCAAATATCACCCAGAATCAAATAATGACTTTCAACTAGGGACACATCGCCAAAGAATTTGTTTCAAATTATCTTTAGATATACATATCCTTTCGGTTCATAAAGTTCTCATTTCTATATTTTGATAGGATGTTAAAATAATGTAATATTTGTAAATTTGAACAAGAGAAAAGGTGACCAAGGAGGAAAAAGAAGTAAAAGAATAAATGTGGAGAAGGACATAGCAAAGGGTTTGCTTGCATCTGTTGACCAAACTCCACCCGACAGAGAGAACCTATGGACCCAATAGAGCAGTAGGTCAGTTCACATTGTTTCACAAAGATTCTAAGTCAAACTTAACTCTAAGTTGGACTTAAATATTATGGAGAGCCATTTGTAGCCTTATAATGAAATATATTTAAAAGCAAAAATTCAAGTATTTTAGACTTTTCTCAAATTCCACATCAAGAACATGAAATCTCCCATGATAACAGAAAATATGAATGATTTGAATCAACATTTTATGCCTTTTAAAATATTTCACAGAAGCTAACAGCTTTCCATAACTGTTAAATCCAACTTAGAGATAAGTTCAACTTAGGATCTTTGTGAAACACCCCCAGGTACCCTCTTCAATGAGCGGGGTGGGTGTGGCATGTCATGGTGGGTTCGGTGCTCTTACATGGAGAGATACCCATGGGTTCTAAACCAATAGCCTAGGCATCTCTGGGAGCATGCATGCAGTTTCTTAAAAAATAAATAATAATAATTTCTTCAAGCAAACAGGTCTCTTTTGCACTTTTTTTTTTACTGTTTCAAGAGGGTTGTGGACTATCAGAGGTTTTGCATATGACCTGTTCAAGTGTAGTCACATGCTGTGAGTGTCCATCGGCCCAATATGATAAGAGGTCACAAGGCACAAAGTCAACCAAAGTGATGTCAATATTGTCACGACTTCAGACCTATTGCAATTGTGGACTTACGATCATTTCATTCTTACGTTGTAAAGTATGCAGCTTTTGAAAGGCTTTATTAACTTTTATTTCAAATCTTCTTCATATTGTGGGCTTATGATTATTTCATTGTTGATGTATATTACAGCATGTAATGTTCTGCAAAGCTGCGCTTTCTCCTGGTTCTCGACTAACATGCTATTGTAAGAAAAGGATACAGCTCTCGATGCTGGCTCCTGCAATGTAGCCAGATGTGTCAAAGTTGATGCGGATGAATTTTCCCTAGAAAGAAAATGAGAAAAAGGATAGTTGTCATGGACTTGTAAATACAATACCTTCTTTCCCTCCTAATCATATTACAATTGATACATACTTTCTGCATCGTAATTCAATATCTGCAAAATCATCATCATTATTCCAATGATTGTTATTTCTATCTCATATTACATTCAGAGCATTTGCTAAATTGACTATTTATTACCAAAAGTTCAAGGTAAATTGGTGTCAACTGTTCTATAGAATGGGGAAAACAATTCTGCCTACAGTTATCCTAACAAATACAGTATGTCTTTACATAAACAGGGAAGTGTTTGTGCTATATTTTGAGTATTCTGCCATGGCTATTGGTACAATAGAATAGGACTTTTGATCAAATGGCAACTTATTTTGTTTTCATTGTGTCTCTAAATTTCAAGATTCATCGCCTTACCATTCATGATCTATATTTACATTTATCATTGTTCATTTAACTTATTCTTTTGTTGAGAATAAATGAACTAAATTCTTTAGTTTAAAATAAATACATTAATCTCTTTTTATGCAATTTTCTTTAATTTCGAAAGGGGTTCCTGAATGTGAACCTACATTTAGGTATACCGTAATGGAAAATCCCCAATCTTATACAATTCAAAATAAAAATAAAAAAGGAATCATGAAATTATGAAATTTGCTTTGTGGCACTTGTTGGTGGCACTTGTTGGTAACGATAGTGGCACAAGGTTCGGTAAGACAACATAGCATATATTTGAGGTGTATCAAAATCAATAATATCATTAACTAGCTCCACATCATGTCCATCAGTAAATATCTCTTCCCCTGATTACTTACAAAACGTGAAGAGTTGTCATTCTTGACGGTCTTGGCGTTTCCAAAGGATTCTAGGATAGGGTTGGCTTGGAGGAGCTGGGCCTCTAGTTCACCCTACAAATACAGAGACAAATAACACCAACATTTAAACATCACTTCCAATCTGGAAAACTATATCCTATGAATGAAAATAAAAATATCTATCATAATCTCTTGCATAAACCAAATCCATGTTATTGTTAATTGTAAAAGAACCTTACATTACCTAATCACAATTTTTTCTTCTCATCCTTTTCAAGTACAAGAACAAATGTTGGTGGGAGAGTTGAATATTTCTTTTTTTAGACTTCTTTGACAGTCATTTGATGCAATAAAACACGAGAAGACATCTGCTTTCAATTTGTATTACATCAAATTGAATTACATTATCCAACACGACCTACTAAATCATTTGGTCACTGTAAATTTCATTATCCATCAACATAGACTAATCTAAATTGATTAACCGTCCTTCCTTTCTCTTATAATATCACTATCTGCCTCCTGCCCTTAGCCTATTCATATTTACAAACTTTCAATTTGTTTCTTAGCATTCTCACTTTTATGTCTGCAAGAGTCTTTCTTTTTCTTCAAAATGCATCCTATATTTGACAATGCTTCATTGTTATTTTACATGAAATCATGGCTAAATCTTTGCATTAATGTACTTTTCAATTCAAACTGATTTTGTTATTCACAGCAGTCAACTCCTGGTTTCCTCAGCCAACCCGGGGGTTATTTTTATCAAACAAATTCAACTATCGTTGCGAAGTGTTTGACCAACACAGCACAGCACAGTGCAAAAACATTAGACAAAATGAACTTCCATAAAACCACCAATTAACATTTAAAAGGAAACATAAACATTCTTGCTGGATAAGGGGCACAAAAAGACGCAAAGGGTCTCAGGCAAACACAGAAATTGAAAAACAGTCAGCGTCCATCTTTTCCCTTCTTTTTCCTATAAAAGCAACTTCGACCAGGAATTGGAAATAGAGGGAGTTTTCTTTTAATCATACAATGTTGCACCTTTTCAAACTACTTTTTTAAAGGGTATTGAGAGATGGGGGAATTGTCCAACCATTTGGGAATCTTTTGACAGCACAAATGTAACAGCCTTTGAACAATTTAATATGAATTTGTGAATCATCTTTATCAATACTTACCTTCCTAATACATCCTCAAATTTAATATTATGTGTAAATCTCCTGAGTTTCAATAAGTCTCAGTTTACATAGCTTTAGTATATTCAATGGAGTTATTTTGTATTACATAATGTACCTTTCTTGTATCTTCCATGTAGAATCTGAAAATCAAGAGTTCTGTTATAATCCCATACCATAATCAGCTGAACATGTTAATTGCTGATATTAGTTGTGAGAGCTGTTAAAATTGTCTAATTCTAAACTTTATATTTGATATTAAAACTGATAAGCTGACATTAGTATAACCATATCCATTCAACTGCATGGATTCAAAGACTATTTCTCAAAATAGTTTTGGAAGCACAGTTTAGTGTACCATTGGACGTAGAGTGATGTACGGTAGTCCAACATTATACCAAAGATGTGATTCTGGTGTGAGAGTAAGTAAGTGAGTGAGTGAGTGGATGTGTGTGAATGAATGAAAAAAGAATGGATACTTACTACAATGTTCCTCGAAAGGCTATGGATACTCTACTCAGACAGACCGCATATAATTTGTGGAGCAAGGGGAAAGGGAGCAGGGCGTGACGGGGCGGGGCAGGGGTAATAGTTGGGTGTGAGTTTAGTAGATGGTGTGTGTGGAGAGATGGGTGGGTATAGGTTGGATTATAAGCAACAAGAAAGGGTAAGGGGTGGGGAAAAGATACAAAAACAAGATTGATAATAAAACCAGCAACCATGACTTAAGAACACTGTTCATAAAAGAGAGGGAGGATAGGCCAAGATGAAGCAACAAGATGCAGAACGGATGGAGGGAGGATGGGAGAGCAGAATGCAACCCAATGTGCAGAAATTAAAGTGTGAACTTGAAAAGAAAAATATACCAACAAAAAATAATAAATCATGCCCATGCATTTTAAATACATGACCTTCAAACATGAACAAATGTAACAGGCAAATACAAAATTATTACAATAACTATACATCTGTATTTACTTATATGTACTTACATTGGCTCATAAAACTAAGTAGTAACAACTTTTGAAATGTACATAGACCACAAAGAGTAACCATGGCAAGTTCACAAACAGCATCCATATAACTTATAACAATGACATTACTACGAATTACATAAATATTGGAGTTGTAACAAAATACTAAGTGTATACATGTACAGTATAACAGAACTCTTCTACAAGATACGACAATATGTCTTACACATTCATAATTTTAAATCACTGAATGGTCCTATAAAATATAGCGTCATAATTACACTATGGACCAGCTAGCTTTTTTTCTTATATTTGCAAATGAACTTTCTCTGCCCAAAAAGTAAGGGGGAAAAACCTTCACTATTCCCAAAGAGAAAAACTGGTACTAGTTAAGTGCAGCTTTTTCGTCTTATGTTGTGATGAATTCATTTTTATATGACAAAGACGTTTTAGATACTTTTTAGGACTACCGTGCAAAACAAAATGATTTCACTGTAAATGGTATCAGTGCTTCGTTTACACTTTCTATTTCACGTCCATTTTGCCTGACATTACTCTATTATAAAAACTAGGCATGTATGTTTATTTAGCTACTTCATAGAAATTCTAGTTCCGTGAAATGGGATACTGACATGACTGGCCAAACCACCAGCAGATAACAAGCGGAAGATCCTATTTCACCCACATATGGTGTTCTCTCATTCTATTCTTTCTATTAGAACACTCTATTTATCTCACTTTGTCAAGATGTCAGCCACTTATCTTTCTTGAATCTTCAATAGTGTGTCACAGCTTAGCCATCAACGATCAAAGGAAGACCATATATTATATGCTATGAAAAACATGGGGCCAGTTTTAAAAGTACTCCCTCTATACTAACTTTTCAAACTATTTCATTTACTTCCCTGTAAAAGGAGTTTACATAATAAATGGCATCAAATCCCTTTATCATAATTATCACAAAATCTTTTTCTTTTGACATAGCTGTATTATAAATTGTATAAACATATGTTACTATTAAAACCACTATAAAACAGAACTCCAAAAGGTTTTTTTAAGTACAATTTCAAACTAAATATATCAATAATGTCCCTTCCCTTTATAAAAATGAACAAAAAGGGAATTTTAATTTTGTCTGAAATGTCACAATTTTGAAGCAACATCATTTTTTTTCCCCTCAATCACAATTTGCAATGCATTTGTAAATGAACATTCAGCATATTTATGCAAATAAACACTTCAAAGAATGGAGCATTCTTGTATGGCTGAATTAAGCAAACCTTGAGATATAAACACATTTCACAAAGGAGGGATACATACATATAATTGGGAACACATCAATCAATATATAAGTATTAGTGCAATAAATCCTGGCTAAAGTGTTGAACGAAACACAAAACTGTGCCGTAATTCTGAACACGAATGCAAATCAATTCAAACAGCAAGGGAGGTTTTTTTTCTTTTCAAAGTAGAATTCAACAACAATTGCAAAAACAAGTGTAAACATACCGCATTTGGTAATTGATAGGTAACTTTTTTTTTCTTAATCCTATCTCCAGCTAATTCCTGAAAAAAATGGAAACATGAACAGAGAACATGGTGTACAAACCAGTCTACATTATTAAAAAACAGGACAGAGAGTGGGCGTGGTGGGGTACAAAGGTGGGGTACAGAAGAGGGGTGTAACAGAGGAAGGGTATTGTAGCTGAAGTACACTATTCTTTTAAGATGGGAGGATGGCGAAAATTCATAGACATAGGAGTTAGGAAAGGGAGTGAAATAGAAATCTGCAATACATGTACGTACAAAGCATTAAAAGGTCATGAATTGATAAATAAGTGATAAATCTAAGTAGATACAAATTTTATTCTTGTGAGATTCAATATGAATTTCAATAAAGAAATGGCATGAATTGCATCAGGAAATCAAACGTGTCCAGAATAAACATATTTTGTCAATCTTTCCCTTTCCAAGCACTTTTACAGAAACTTAAACTAAAGATGGAAACAACAATTATTTGTCGATATTCATCAATTTCTCTTACGGTTCAAGAAACCCAGGCCAACAACCTAGAATGCCTCTTAATTTGACTTTCTTGTACATACTGTAGTCACTTCCATCAAACCAAGACATCACTACAATATGCCAAAGAAAATGAAGAAAGCCCAATAAAGAACGGTCATTACACACTCAGACATATTGTACACCTAAACATACAAAATGTGTTCAACTTCAGTAAAGTGACAAACAGACATACATACATACACACTTACACGCACACATACATGAACATACACTCATAACACACAGGGACGAAGAATCCCAATTCTCCATTCCCACTGTACTCCTCAAAATAAATCACAAGCATACTAAAGCACAATCACATTCAGCCCAGCCCACATTCAAACAAGAAAAAAAAAAAACCTTCACATAAATCAATGTATTCCCCCACCCCCTCCCCCTCGATGTCCTTCATTCCTGAATAGAAAGAATGTACTAGTAATTGGAGCAAAATATGTTTGAAAAGAATACATATCGTAATAATTTACCATCAACTTAATAAACTAATGCTTTTAGTGAGAAACTGATTGCGAAAAGTTCTAGAAAAATAATATATGTGGTATGATTGAGGAGAGCTATTTCATCTATGGATAAATAGGATGCATACTTGTAAAATGTAGCTATATCTCAATGGAATCAATAACATCAGCGATATATAAAAATGGAGATGCGTTGTGGCTATAAAATGCAGTGTCATTAATGCGTTAATAAACTAAAATATAAATGTCTAGTTACTGAAAATAATATAATTTTTGAAAGCATATGTTTTCATCAAATAACAGTGTTGATTTTATAAACAAGACTGTAATATTTAAAAAAAATGTTCTTGGAAGATCTTTCCCATTCCTTATACTGTAAAAGGAAATTAAATGTACAATAATTACCTAAATAAAGTGACTCAAGTGTTAAAAGCAGTTAAAGAGATGAAAGAAAAGCAGAATAAAAATAGTTCGAGATAGTTTAGTACCAATGGTGGAATACCCATATTTTGAAGCAGTTCTCCCTACACAAATCCCATATGAGCCTTCACCAATGTAAATATAAAATAATGAATAAATGTCATTAAAGAATATGCATGTGTCCTGCAGTAAACCAAATGAAACCTGATATACAAATTATAAAGTCATATATGTATCATGTAGTATGTGAAGTTGGTGTGATAATATAAACTGCGAATGAAATGAAAAATAATTAAGAAAGTTTCAGAAGTCCATCCTTGCTTTCAATTATCTTACCTGCTACACTCCATAAGAAAGTAAAGAGAGAAAGAGGAAGAGAGAAAGGGAGAAACACATTCATGAGATCATTTTTCAAAGAATGTGTATAAATAAAGCACTCGAAACAGGAAAAAGGTTTCAGTGTAAAGTGAACTAAAAATCTTTTGAATGCTAGCAAACAATGAAAAAAAGGGAATCTCAATACTGTAGCTTTTTAGCAAACACAAACATCACTCTCTCTCTCAAAAAGCATGCAATCAAAAAGTAGAATAAAACACTCAAGTCGCAAAGAATATCAAATTATAATATCAGAGCACTTAATGTAATTGTCATTCCAAAACTGATCAACAACAACAAACAAATTTATTAAAATTTGACAATTTAAAGAACACTGCACTATAAAAACAAAGAGTAACATCAGCAAACAAAAATCGTAAGATGGAATTATCAATAAAAACAAATTAGGCCTTTGACAAAAATTGGGGGAATCCTAACCTAGGGGTAAGTTGCCTTGCATTCAAAACTCTCATTTACCTTCAATGTATTGTTTTCTCAGAAATATGACATCCCCCCCCCCCCCCGAAAAAAAATGAAGAAGAAAAACAAACCTGCTTACAATCTTTTGACTCATCTCTCTCTCTCTCTCTCTCTCTCTCTGCCTCTCCCTTTTCGAATATTCAAATTCTCTGCTTCTCTCTCTCTAATCATACTATGATAGAAAACAAAGCCTTAATATCAACATTCTCAGAACATCTACAAAAAAATCCACTTATCGGCATCATTCTACTTTTTCCCCTAAATGTCAAATATTCCCTCACAACATTTTATTATGGAATGAAATACCGTTTAATATGACAATGAAAGGCTTAGCCCTGGGGAAACATTCAATTGATTTCATCAACGTTGTTATTACTAGTCTGATTGCAAACTCCAGCATAACAAGCCAATTTCAAATGGCATGGGGGTGTCACATGGTCCCATATACTGAAATCCTTGCATGTTTTGCTCCCATTCCCTATAGAATTCAGCTATGCAAGCAGTTATGTCTGGATGTAATAATCTGAGGGCTAACCGTCTTAAAGAGCTTTCTGATAGTAAATCAACTCTAGGGCTTCTTTGAAAATGTGAAAGAAAAACATGTTTAGACAGTTATCGGACATCTTTGATGTTTGGAGTCAGTGCGAAAACAATTTGAATGTGTCCTTACAATGAGATTTGAAATGGAATCATGAATGAGAATTGAAGGAAGGACAATCTAACAGACACTTGATTTTTTTTTTGTTAATCATTTGAGCTCCAGCAAAATGTATTTACATTGCCATATAAACATGGCCTGTTGACACAGCCTTCTCGTTTATAATGTTCATATAGCCTGTTCACTGCTTCAGCTTTTTTAAAAGTTGTAGACGGGCGGGACTGCTTGGAGCCATAATGTAGCCACATGTGTGTTTTCATGTGAGAGGCACCTTAAATGAGTGCATAATTAGCCCACATTGGACCTTGAGTCTAATTACGTGACTACATTAGCAACATGGGGGTGGATCGACTAGCACTCCGTCAAATAGGAAATGTCATCAGGTTTCTGAACTTGCCGACAGCGGTAATTTGGAACGCCTCTTCCGTTAAATTGGGAGCATGCCAACCACCACCTGAACTTGTACATTCACAAGAAGAAAAAAGTCTTTTAAAAATTATTTTCACTTATATTCCAAATGTTGTTAAAAACCTTCACTTTGTCACATACTAACCCAAGAAGAAGCTTTAATAAAAGTAAGGGAAGCTTTAATAAAAGTAAGGCAAGTTTTGTCTCCCAAAAGATGTCTATGTGAACCTGTTTAATAATGAAATGCTTTTCAGCACATTTAGAGGCTTATTTTTTTTTCTCTGCAATGAAATCTACTTTATAAAGTCATTCTGGACTAAGAATTCCCAAGAACTATAAAATCATTAAAGCTATGTTATATTAATTTTTTTTTTTTCTCTCCTTTCTTCACCATTGCATGGAGACTGAATTTTCCCCAAAAGACGTCACAACAAGCGTGTAATTCTGCCCAGGTTTCTACATACCAACATGCATATCCATTCCTGAAGCAATTCTAGATCTTGGCATGTCAGAACATCAGTATGAAAAGTGAATTATATATTTTGTTGTCAACAACTTAAAACCTGATCTGCTTTTTTGATATACATCCAAACGTTGTTAGAGTCGGTATGAAGTTGACAGGTTTGCCACATATCTTTGACAAGTTTATGGCATTCCTGTGCCAAAGTTCAATATAAAAATGTTAATGTTAAATATTAAAGTGTTGATATGCTGATGTATTTATTAAACCTTTTCTCTGGTATGTCATTACTGTATCAGTCCTAGCTCACAGCCATCCCATTTTCACTCTTGAAAGAATGATGTATCGTATCATTCAAATAGGGCAACAAACTCTGAATCTTAGGTATATCTTACTTAATTTATGAATTAAAACTTGTTTATCTTGAGTATGGCATATCAGTGCAGGCTCCATCTTTCAACTTTCCTATACTTCAATGATTTCTTCATTATTTGTATATTTATCAGAACATTGCTGACAAAAATTATGATGAAACCAAAAAGTTAAAATTCCATATGCCCAGGCCTGAATTATATCTTAACTTCCTTGTCAAAATAGTCACTGAAATCCTAACTGGTCTACAGCATATATTTTCTTCTTCTTCAACCATCTTGAAATGTGATATACCCTCATATATGACTCAAGAAACACAAACCGGATGTAGGTTGTACCATTGTATTAGTTAACACTGCCAAAAAGGCAATAGATGAAACTTGTTTTTACTTCCTCACAGAAAAAGCATAGATTCGTTCAACAATGTACAAAAAAGTAATGAGAAATGTGCCCTTTTGGAAATGCCCTACATGTGTCCCATTTGCACACTCTTTCAAAAATTCAATCAAATTAGATCATTACAAGCAAAACACATGCACTATCATATGTCATACTCCATGCACACACACTTCAAAGACTCTACTATCACATCTCTCAAAGATGATATATCCTTGGCTCTTTAAGGATTGGACAAGGAAAAAAACAAGATGGGACCTATACAAAAACCTAACATTTAGATTAGATGAGCAAATAGGCATGGAACTCAACTAAAAGAAACAAAACTTTAAGAAAAGTACTTTCAAAAGTTGATAAGCTTTCAGAGAAAGAAAAAACACCAAGAACACATAACCATGCAGTAATCTCGCTACAAAAACTAGTTTATCATAATATGATGGATAATGATGCAGAGCAAATAATAATTTGCTAAACCCCATGAAAAAGAATAGTTTCTCTAAGAGACATGTCAACTAATATATATCCCATTAAGCATGCATATTAGGGGATTCTTGGTAGGAATCACATAAGAAAGAAATATAATAACTTAAAAGTACTATTCAGATTCTTTCATCTTTAATTGCTTTGGATTGTTCAGACTGTTCTTTCTTTAAGGGTCAAAGAGGAGAGTAGATTATTTATAAGAGCAAATTCATGGAAAGAATCTGAATCAAGTTACTTCAATCAAAATATTTATTAATCATGACAGTAAAAATATATCTGAAATTAGATAAACTTGCATTCCTGTATCAAATACACCTTCATGCACCAAAAGAAAAGTATCAACAAAAAAATACCCCAAAACCATATCAATTAGAGGGTTGCTCAAACAGTGTTGGAGATGATATTCTTAGACTAGGTGAAGCCTGCCATGTTGTACATATAGGTGGTGTGCTGCACCAAAATTTGTGTCAAATTGAGTATCGTTGCCCATGACAACCATAAACACAAAGTAAGTATTTTGATAGTACATTCATACTGATGCACAGACCTCCATGGTCCTTATGCAACAACTTCTACATACATGTAGCATCATTATCAAGGGGTAATTCATTAAGACTATTATTTTGTATTATTAATAACATCTGTTCAGTGCCAGAAGGGCATTAACTCTGTGTTAGGGTATATGAGTTAAGGTCCTTCCATCTCCAAACAGACACTAGGGACTCCAACACTGTTTGGGTATACCTATAAGTAATAATCATTCCAACTTCTAAGCATTGTTTATGCAATGACTTCTTATACTAAAAAAAAATATGTAAAGTTGCACATCCGTTGGCACCACAAGTAATACTTTTTTTCAGATTAAAAGCATAATATACCTTTATAAGCAAAATTAAGATTAAAGACATCTTTAGCAGGATTAGAGAACCAGTTATGAATACATTTTCAATCAATTTTTTGAATTATAATTGATATACACGGTCTTTTAACTACATAGAGCTGTTTCATAACATAAAAGCTGTTATCAAATCACCATAAAAATTACATGAAGCTATGCTCTGCTAAAGCTTTATCATTAGAGATAATCAACATCTTCACTTTGTTAATAAAGCTAAATTAAAAAACATCTACTTAGTGTTAAACCATTGATCAATATCAAACTAAATAAGCTACCACATTGTATACTAGAGTATTAATGGCATTGCTTTAATAGAATGTTGTTTTTTCCAACTTGTTATAGCCTCAATGGGAAGTTATTAGCATTGGAAAAAATGTATTTCCAATCATTTCTGAAATAATCATTTGACCCCTTCTGAACAATCAACTTTCAATAATTAAATCACAGATGCCTTTCTTTTCTTGTGAAAGTAAGTATGAAATAAATGAGATGATATTTGCATTTAGTCAGCAGAGATTCTGGTCAAAGGGAAATACTGTCCAATGGTTTCTAGCACACTGTCAGAAAACTTCATTACAAAAATCAAAAATGTGTATCTTTAAAATCTTTTGAAATGTTTTACAACACACCTTTCTTCTATTTAGTAAACATTTCAATACCACATCAGTAAGAACTGAATCCATATTAAACAAGAGAGCAATGTGATATCATTTTCAAAATACTCGTAAATATCTGTTGGCAAACAATTTCATGTTTATTCTGCAAATATTCATCTGTCTAAAAACCATACCTTTCTCAGAATCTCTACCCACTAAATGACTGGTGCAGCTGCTAATGATTAAGCTGGTTAAATAGTTGAATACTAGTTGAATACTTACTTGTATACTATGGATTGTAGATGAGCCCTTGGTGTTCTTGCTAGCAGCTACATGGGCTAGGTATTGGATGACTTTCTTGGTGTTCTCTGTCTTTCCAGCTCCGGATTCTCCACTGAGTATATAAAGAACAAGCTCAAGACATTAATCCACTTCGGAAATAAATGACAAAGCTCTGACAAACCAAACATTACATATTTTTTATTCAATGTGAAGATGTTTACCGTATATTATTATTATGAGAAATGGAAGAAGACCAGAAATTGTTATTTTACATCCCCAAAAAAATTGATGTAACCTTAGAGTAGTGGGAATTACTAGATAAGAATTAAAGCTAACAGTGTCCTAAAAGCTATTCCAATTCATCATTGCATCAATTTATATATTTTCATATTGTTTACTTTTTACCAGTAAAATAAATACAAACTTTTGAAAGCACCAACACAGGAATCTAAATATAGGGCAACACGCTCATGATATAATGATGTCTTCTTCCTCTTTCAACATAGCTATATGTATTATGAATTTTCTATAAAATTCATTCAGTATATCATTTTTTGGAGAAAAAAATTATGATATTTTGTGGGATATTCCTAATTTTCTTTATTCCCAGAATTCAACATATGCATTTTTTTTTCTTTTTAAAATCACGTTCAGTATGTAATTATCACACTTTAGGGCAACAGATTTGTATCATCATTGCATATCATAGTTTGAAAACTAAAAAAAACTAACTAAATAAGAACTAACTAATCCACTTTAAATTCTCTACAAATCTACAAGACCTTGCCAGATTTTTATCCAGTGAAATAAAGTGAACTGTATGGAGTCAAGGGAGTTCACAGTCGAATGTGACAAACATATTTTCACATTCTTTCCAAAAATGACATATCCCACAAGGCAATAGTACAGGCAAGATACAACGACTGGGGTGGCAGATAAGCTTTCTTGTTCTTATCAAAGTTCCCGTTTAAAGCATTTGATTGGTAAGGTCAATGCAGATTGATATTTACAAAATCTAACAGGTAATATAAGAAGTAAACCGAAACACCTTCTAGGGATCTGACTGCAACTATTCAACTAAATATTGGGTCATATTTTTGCTCATGCAAAACAATGCTTGTGGCATAGAATTCTTCCTAAAAATAGTACTGGAATTCAAACTAAATCACGATTGTACTGTAAGATTACAGACTCGGTGTCAAAACATGATTTAGATTACAAAGGTTTCCTGACCTCAGTTGTCTGAGAGCAAAACCACTCAATATTATAAATGCTTATTGTATTTATTTTTTGAGCCATGTCATAGTTGATCAACATAAAAAAATCAGTCCCACATAATGTGATTCAACTTCACAAATCACTGCAGATTCCACAAATGCAGATTACGCCTATAGCTTTCGGTGCTTTGACAGGATAAATCAATCAAATTATTTAATTAACATAAAAAGGAACTTTTCAATGCTACTTTTTTGTAAGACTTTGCTAAAAAAAAATGCTTCATTCAATACTATTTTAGTAACCAAGACATAAACATCAAGACTCTCTCCAAAACATCAAAACAATATCATGTCTTGATGGATACATTAACAATTGATAAAATGCAACTATTTCTTTTATTCCGAACTGGTACATTTGGAAACATTTTTGAAAGTACCATTCTCTCCATTAAAAAAATCTTTTAGATGGTTAATCGATCTGGGTTTGACCATCAAAGACTATTGGAAGTAGAACGGGAGGTGTGCCTCATGCAGAGAATTGCCACCTTCTGGCGACATGTCAGATTGGGTTCTCACAGACACATGCAAGATATTAACCAGGCACCACCTTCAAGATTCATATCAGTTCCCTAAGATCATATTCCATAACAGTGCTTTCAACCATACACAGGGTGATCTGAGGTCAGTACAGGTGGGTGTCTAGCTAGGCTGGCATTTAGGTTTTAGTATCTGTAGGTGTCTGCATTTGTGTCATGGTTTGTGTAGGTGTTTGGATTGGTGTTTGGTGTCGATAATTGGATTGGTGTATGGTTATAAAGTATGGAATTGGTTACATGCTGGTGTATGGTATTGGTACTTGATGTTGATGATAGAATAGGTGCTCATGGTGTTCATGGTGTTTATAATTGTGTATGATGTCCAAATGACAAAAGTGTGGATGATTGATTCTGGTGTTGAATGGCAATGGAAATGTTGATGCTCTATGAATATTGATGTCGTTGTGAATATTGATGTCGTTATGGATACTCTAATAACTGGACATTCATTCTTGCATGTGTGCTCGGAGTAGTTGTGATGATGTAAGTGTGTCTCAATCTCAGTACTCTTAAAGTGTCCTGATCTGGCCAGGCATTTATCTGTATATGCCACTCTCAAATCTTTACCCAGGTGAAGTACATGTATATGGGTGCCCAGTGAAAAGAAATGCATCATGGAAGATCAACTAGATAGCACTTTGTTTCCTCAGGGGAAAAACACACCTTACAAATCAAACAACTATATCATCATATATTATCATAAATAAAGTGTTAGTGATGAAATAATTTCTGTATAAATTGGTTATTGTTTTGATGTTGGTGGTGATGTTGGGGTTGGTATTTGTTTTTTATCTGACGATATCTGTAATGATGCTGGTACATACATGTATATTGACTAGTTTGTTTACAGGCAGTGCAAGGCAGTGATGGTGTTTTGGTTGTTACACACATGTTTGTTGGATGTTGGTATACATGTACTTATGTAATAGACTATCATGTTTGTATATCTACATGTAATTGTTACTTTGTGCTGGTATTTGGTGAGAAATATGTTCATTGCTTTTATCCTCATATTCATGTCCACTTGGATCATACTCACGTGCAAAGGATAGACTGGTCCTCACGATCTGCAATGAAAAAAAGAGAAGAAAAAAATACATGTTTAATAGGTAACTAACATTTGAAGAGGGTGGGGTGCATAAATAAAATACTCCATCATTTATATAAAACATCATTCATATGAAACATCATTAAATGATTCAACCTATTCAATACACGTGAAGCTGAAGGACTAACAAATTTTGACATTTTTGCTTGATAAAGCAGGTGTACACATGTATCTAGTAAAGTGTGGAAATATGAAAGTTAATACAAAGTTTTGGTATTGGGTTATGAATTTGGTTCAAATGAACATATTAGAAGCATCTGTGGAATCAAGTCTACATGTAAATTGATGAAATATTAAGTAATAAACTCTTTATGTATTATAACTCCCTCTCAAGACTGATATTAAGGTGATTTAAGCATGATTTTTTTTTTATGTAGCCTATATAGCCAACCAGGCAACTATTTATGTATTCTCCCCCATATACTTCTCATTTAGTCTGTATTGTAGAGAGTGGTAATATGAGAGCGCTGAGTATATATTGTGGCTGTATTTCCACCCACCATGAGGTAAATTGTTTACAAATGTGTAATCCAGCTCAAACCTGAGGATTTCCTCCCTCCAGTTGAATGTTTCCGCAAACCAACCATGCACACGCAACATCTAGGATTTTTAATCACACTGCCTTCAACTCATAACATACCCCACTAACTTTGCACATATTGCAAATCATTTTGTGACTTGGGTATTTCTCAAGATTTGAACTCTACAATGGGAAATTGAACTTTCATACTTCTATACCGGTAGTCAAATTCACAAAAATAGTGAGTCAATGATAAAAACACCACTATATTTATGATAGGCCAAAAACTTTGAAATACAGCCTATGGTATCGATGAAATTATAACTGGGAGTTGTTTCACAAAGATCCTAAGTTGAACTTATCTCGAAGTTGGACTTAACAATTATGGAAAACCGTTATAGAAAAGCATCAATTTGACAATATTTTGTAAAACTCATTTCATAGATCACCTTGTAGAATTCATCTTATAATGTTATTTATATACCTCACTTAAGAAATCCAGCCATCTGATTGGTCGAATTGCATTCATAAACTTCAACTGTTCCTGTAAAATTCTCGGTAACCATGCATAAAACATTTCAATATTTTTAATAACCATGGTTATTAAAAAAAGTCGGTCAGCCTCCATGGTTACCCCATAGGTTTACATGTTAAAAAATGGTTTGAGCGATGGAGGATGCCGTATGTGTGCGAAGGATTGGTCGGTAATTTCAATACAATTGAATCTCGATCGATCTTACCGACAATTTTATCTTGCATTGTTGACATGAAGACGAAAATAAACTTCCAAAAACAAAAAAACAACATCTGCCGATAGATCTTGATCTAAGTTCGTGCCAATATGCATTGCAAAAGTAAAAGAAGAGTCCGTATATGGAGCTTTTGCGAAGCATTCATCACACGCGAAGCCGGTTTCAATCCATTTTAATGTATATATTGGAGAAAACTGCCAAGCATGTTAACGGCGGGCCATAGCCGAGTGGTCTAAGCGTCGGTTTTCGGTACACCTCTTGTTGTACGCAATAGTTCGAATCCCGTCTTCGACAAAATTGATAAATATTTTTAATTTTTCATTTTTTAGTCTATTTTTTTTCGGCATATAAAAGTATTAATGACTGCTTTAATATTCGAGAAATAGTTGTTTTCATACGCTCTCGGGAAGGTTACAATTGGGCTATTCCCCTCGGCAAGCCTCGGGGAATAGCACAATTCTAACCTTCCCTTGAGCGTAATAAAACAACTATTTCTCTCAAAGCAGTCATTAATACTATAATATCAAACCTCTTCCTCCCAACCCTTTTAAATTTGTTAACACACTTTAACCCACTGCAGATGACAATATGGTGATCCTAGCATTCAACATTATGAGAATGAAAGAATTCAGTTCTTAAAGGGTTAAAGGTCACATCTGCTCAGAGCCAAAAGGATATTAACTTTACTTTTTCACAGACACCCTTCTGGGTTGCAACAGAGAGTGAAGCAATTTCCATTGGATTATTGGACAAATTAAGAGTTCATGCACCCCTAGCTTTCTATGGAATCAGTAATATGACCCTCTCACAAACCCAACTGAGTGCAGCTAGTTCAAGTTCATGGACTGTTGCATATTAATTGGAACCATTTAGTGAGTTCAGGGAACCACAGCATGAGCTCATCTTGCTAAGAGAGTGCTTACAAACTAAAACCGGATGTACACATGAATAACATTATCATGGACAGCTTTGATGGACTAATCATAAAAGAACATTCAACTTGTTTTCACCTTTACCATAGCTATATGTTTTATTTCTTGTATTAGTCATTGTGTACTATAGATAAACATCTTAATGGTATTGGTTAAAATCATGTGACATTATCAGGCACTTCCCTATGGGAATCCTGTCAGCCATCATATGGCTCTGAAAGGGAGAGGGGTCTGTTCTTACTCTTCTCCCTGTCTCAATGGATGTTTAAGTTATTTCACTCACCCCCCCCCCCCCCACACACACACACACACCCCTGATCTGCCTGTGCATTTACAACATTTAGATGCCTAAATGTATGGATCTGAACATGATAGGACTGCATCCAAAATATTTTGCCCAGAACCACAGACAGAGTACTTAAAGCATGATAACTAATAACTGTATATTTCAGCTTTATGGTACTACTATACAAAGATGTTATTCATGTGTTGTGTTGAAATGCTGATGGTATCTAATTAACCAGTACCTGTGTTTAATCTAAGCTTAAACTATAGCTTGCATACCAACCCAGCCTAAGAAGCTCATGATATTCCTGGTTACATTACATAATGTGTGTAATAAGCAAACAGATTTAATGGTGTGGTATGCAGTGGAAAATATCGGTTGTTTATTTAAGTGGGTATTTAGTAACCTGATAGTAACAAAGGTAAATGAGGGAGGCCCTGTATTTACATATGTGATTCCAGTGTTGATAAGGTTCATTTGGATTCACAAGTCTATGTCTCTGACGTAAACAAACCACTGTAAACCTTTCACAGAAATTGTTATGTTATTGCTTTTAGATGCCGGATGCAGTTTGCATGAATCAATATTTAATGTTTAAATTTGTAACAAATTGATGCAATATAAACACCAAAGGGGGAGAACTACATGTATTCAATATTTGGTATTTACAAAAATACCACCCCCTTATATAATGCTGTAGACTTAACCACTCAGAAATAATATTCAACATAACGTTTTATATGTGATTTATATGAGGAAGACAACGAAGATCATACATGCAGTATTACTATAAATGTATAATGATTGAAACTCCATTTCCAAGTACATTGCTATTGTTTTGTTTGATATCATGTTGATCATACGATGAAAAGAAAAGAAACAATGCAGAAATAAAGAAATTTTAAAGAAAAACAAGATAGTTCTTTCATAAATGATGACATGACCTGCAAATCTCTCATTCAGAGAGCTGCTTATTACGAGTGCATTTCTGGTAGAATCAGTCAGATTAAATCTTATTTCGATTATCTCAAAAACAACAAGCAAGAAAATATTTTTTAAATCAAATACAAACAAACTTTGCCCCTCCCCCTTAAACTTAAGAATTGCCCCTCCCCTTTTTTGCTAAGAATAACAACTCACTTGAGGGCAGTATATACACAGGAACCATAAATGCTGCCCTATAATGAGTGTACACTGACATAATAGAGAGATGGAACTGGCAGACTGGAACCAATAGCAAATAGAAGAATACCTAATGGAATGCATGGAATGCTTTAAAACCTTTGTTCTCAGAACAATTCATTGTACAACTCATCCTCCCCTACTGCTTGCTATGTGGGTGAGTGGTCAGGATATAGCGAATGGCGCAGAACACTTCACATTTGTATTATATAGAAGTCCTTGCTATTGCTCAGCTTTGTGACTACTTTAAAGGAAAATGCACCTAATTTGAACTGATTACAGATTAAGCCCAAGGCAACATGGAAAGAAACCAATGTATAGGCTATTGATGTAAGTTGTATGAAAATAACACCATTGCAATGGATACAATACCAACTACAAGCGTTCTTTCACACAAGTTATAAGTCAGATTGAATGCAGTCATTTTATAAAAACTTCACAGTGAGTGAAATAGTTTTCCTTTGAAAATGCAACTGAATGCCTCATTAAAAGTGAAGAGGAACAAACTAGATATTTTCATGTATATATAGCATGAAACATAATGCAATTGGCCATAAAAGTAGAAATGTTATCTCCTTTATCATCAGTTCTACTAAAGGGCAAAAATAATCAATTGAATGCTTCAATGGTTTTGGATGAGTGCCAATGATTATACAAGTAATATTTATCAATGACCTGTACAGTAAATTAGTGGACACTAAATACTCATCCAGTCATATTCCTCACTTCATTGACCACTCAAAGGCATTCTTCATATGAATATTTAACCCCCCCCCCCCATAAACCATAACACAAGCAGTTAACTGGTTCTCTTTGCATGTTCAATAAGCAGAGCACCTCACTTAACCTCACCTAACTTCTTTTGCATAGGGTTGATCTGCTTCAAGGTCCATTGCACATATTAAAAACATTACATGTCTTATGAACAAAATAGACTAATCCTTCTTAAATTCTTCTCCAGGAAGATGATGGGAGAATTTAAAGGTAATGCAAAGTCAGTTTGGTAAATTTTGAAAATTGGATGGATAGTAATTCTTTAAATTTGATACATTTGGATGCCCATGTGGATGTATTATAAGAACTACAAAATTTATCCCCTAAAACACTTCTGCTTTTGAGAAATTGAATAATAACAAATTAACCGGTGCTCCCAGTAAATTTCAAATATTTCAAATAGCGCCTAAGGCCATTCCATGGTAGCTGCGAGAATAGTTCAGATATGTAATTTCCAAATGGGAGTAGCAAATCAGTCAATTGTAGTCAAGAAACCTTGTTTTAAAGCTAAAG